CATTCCTTCTCTCAGCCGTCTCGCATTTCCAGCTGGTGCTGACTGCCACTGCTGAGCCCCTGCCGGGTGCCAGGCTCCTCTCTGGCCCTCAGGGCCTGCAGATGAGAAAGCCCAGGCCCAGCAATCTGGGGCCAGCCCCTCCTCGGTCCTGGGGCAGCAGGATTCAAACCTAAGACTTTCCTTGCCCCACAGCCATCTTCTTTCCCAGTCACAGAAAAGGTTTCCACCGGGTGGACAGCTTGTCTGTGCCAGCAGCACTTATATCTAAGAGCAAACTCTCCACGCTGAGGGGACTTGAAGAGAGGCTGAGGAAAGCGTGGGCTCCAGGGCGCACTCAGGGGAAGCTGGAGCTGAGAACAACTCAGAGGCCAGAGTGCAGCCTGCACTTTACAGCCAGGTGAAGTGATTCTCCCTAAAATCTAGAGCTGGGGTGTGGCAGGGCTGAAACTCAAACCTGAGGTTCTCATCAAAGCAGCCCCCCCAGGGCCCTTCCCCCTCCAGGTGCTCCAGTCCTCCCAGCCTCTGTGTCCCCAGGGGCAGATGGCCAGCTGCAGAATCCAGAGGACATCCCCCTCCCAGGCCTAACCCAGGGTGTGCTTGTTAGCGCTGTAAATATATCTTGTCTCCTGGTGGAGGTCAGAGCCAGCTGGGTCCCAAGAGCCCCTTCTAGGCCTCTGAGATTAAGATTATAAAGGAAGATGATTCTTAAGGGCCTGTCCAACTCCCAGCTAGATTCCTGTGATCCGATGACATCAGGACTGTGAATAATCAGCCTGGCCCAGCGCCAGGATGGCTGTGCTCTTCCACTGTGAACTTCCTCCCCCTTCATGAAAACAGGCCCACCCAGCCCATCCACTGGGCGTCCTCCCCCTGCAGAGGACCCCGCCTCCCCAGTGCCACCAACCCCACCCCCTGCCTTAGGATTTAAAGGAGGCAGGAGCTGATCAGGGAGACAGAGCCCAGATCCTGCAGGAGCCGGACCCAGGGACCCAGGGACCCAGGGACCCAGACCCAGGGAGGCGAGGATCAAGGCAGCGGTGAGTTGGTTCCCTCTGCCTGTCTGTCTGGTCCTCTTCTCTCACTCAGAAATCCTTCCAGCAGACAGAGTCTGCGAGGAATGCTTAAGCCAAAGGGCGAACTTTGTAATTCAGGCAGCCAGAAGATCCGCTAGAATCTGCTGGAAAGGGGAGGTTTCTTCTTGTCTCTGCAGGGAATTGGGATACGCTGAAGTGCTCTGGAAGGGCTGGGCATCTGGGGAAGAGGGGACGAGAAGGGATGCATTGCTTGGAGAAGGCTGTGCCGGCAGAATTGAGGGGCAAGTGGGAAAGTGAAAAGAATTACACAGAAACGCTTTGAATAGACAAAGGCAGCAACTCATGACTAGAGGGCAGTAAATGTACAACCCCCTCCCTTTGGGACACACGGGGGCAGTGAGAGCAGGCAGCGTTCTTAGGGGTCCTCCCTCCCCCAGTGAACCCAGGGAGACACTGAGGCTGTGGGTGGGTCGGGGTGACTTGTCCCCAGGGAAGGTTAACTAGGAGCTGGGAACGTGCAGAGGCTGTATGTTTGCAGGGGAGCAGGGCAGAGAAGTGCCTTTGATCCCCGTCCCCCTCCAGGCTCCAGCACCTCTGGCTTTCTGTCCCACCACATCACTCAGTCCTCTTCCAGGACTTTGCAATTAGGGGGTAGGAAAATGACATCGATGTCTCTTCTCCCTAAAGCTCTCTGCAGGAAGCTATGGAGGCTCTCTAGATTTTCACTATTATTATCTTTATTTTCTTAACCCCAAGGGGAGAGAGGGAGGGAAGGAGAGAGGGGGAAACAAGCTGACCTCCCAGGTTACCCATGGCAAACTCAAGTACAGGAGGTGCAGTAAGAATGAGTCCTTTGGTGGGCAACTCGGAATAACGTGATGGTCTCCTGCACTGGTCCAAGATAGAAAAAAATTGTGTGTGTGTGTGTGTGTGTGTGTGGTGTGTACATTTGCAAATACAGTTATCAAACAGAATTCCCTCAGAGGTGACATCCCAGCAGGAAGACTCACCCCGAGATGGAGACTCTGGCCTGTCCAGAATCAAATATGACCCTGGGGGTGCGTTTCCGAAAGGGCAGAGTCAGACTCCGGGCACGGGCAGGGATGCGGTGAATATGGAGATATAAATAGCTCCAATCCTACCCATCAATTTATTCTACCTAAAATGTTCTCAGAGATGCCAGCCTCGAATCTCTGGATCAGATCAAGAGCAAATGACATCTGCCCTCTCTCCAAATAGCCGCTTCTCTGTCCAGACTCCCCAGGCCCCTCCGTTGCTGACCCTCATATCAGAGTCTCCCTGCTGTGTCTGTGCGGGCTCTCTGGCCCTACCTGGCTGTGGCTGAGGAATAACAAACAGTTCCACTTCTATCTGTTAGTGAGCTCGTGGAGGCAGGAGCTGCTTTTACCCCCCAGGGCGCACAGGGATGACGGTGAATTCAAACTCTGGTTAACATGAGCCTAGACGCCCCTTGGTGGTGTGACTTGAACCAACGTTACCATCCAAGGCTTTGTTCTGGTAAATGAGTAGCAGGACCATAGGGCATTTGTAGAAATTTCCTGGGGTGAGGCCTGTTTTGTAGCAATTTAAGGAGGGCCTTCCTGGGGTCACCAAGTTGGAAGGAGTAGCCCAGGACATCCAAGGCTTCTGGAGTGCGTGCCATGGTTATTCTAGATCAGACGGCTAAGGCAGCAACGTGGTTCCCAGGTAGCAGCGGTGGGTTTAGCTGCACTGAGAATTCAGAATCCATACCCTTCAGAATGCAGGTATGTGGTGATGAGCCCTGGGAGTTTTTAGGAAATGCTGGGTTTCCATTTGATTGGCATTGTGCATCTGTGGTCTCAGAATACAAGTTTTATTTCCGTGTTTCTGGCACCGTTTTGATACCATGGTTGGCACAGACAAGGAGGGACAGACACATTTCGTTCCTTCTTGGGGCCATTTATTTTATAGATACAATTCTGTCCGTAGTCTCCAGCTGTCAAGCTTATCCTAGTCAACCCTCTCACAAAACCATGTGGTGGGCGTCAAATCAAACCAAGTTAAAGAGTGAGGATGATTTAGACTCAGACAAAATTAGAGCTAGAAAACAATTCCCTGCAGGGCACAATGTTCCTACTCGGGTGTTAGGGACAACAAAAACCCAGGCTCCACCACTATAAAATATATATGCAAAGAAATTGATAACTCTATTAAAACTGTTAAAAATTGAAAAACATTAACAAAAAAATCTTAGAGGCTAGTATCTATCTTTAGCGATGTCAGTAAAACTCGATTGTGATTCTCTGAGTTTTCAAATATTAAAATGATATTCACTTTAAAAAACATACAAGAATCTTCAAGGTCATTTAGTTTGGACCCTAAATCAAGTGCCTGGTCCTTCGATACGGGCTCAGCACATTCCTCTCCTGATATTTTGCATCCTATTATCTTTCCTGGGAAAGGGACTTCTCTAGAAGGGAGATAGAAGGACAGATAAACTCAATTCTTTTTTTTTTTTTCTTTGCTTTCTTTTGAGACAGTCTCACTCTGTCACCCAGGCTAGAATGTGTGATGACATAGCTCGCAGCAACCTCAAACTCCTGGGCTCAAGTGATTCTCCTGCCTCAGCCTCCTGAGCAGCTGGGACTATAGGCACCCGCCCAGCTACTTTTTCTAATTTAGTAGAGACAGGGTCTCATTCTTCCTCAAGCTGGTCTTGAACTCCTGGCTTCAAGGGATCCTCCCACCTCAGCCTCCCAGAGTTCTAGGAGTATGGGCAGGAGCTACTGCACCTGGCCTACATAAACTCAATTCTTGATCACATGAAAAATAACACCCATGCCAGCAGAACAACAAGACAGGTGCTGGCACAGAGCAAGCATTTTATAAACACTTTTGAAGGGAAAACCTCAGTGAGCACTGGTACTGAGCTTACACACCTGGTGTCTTGGCAGCTTCCCTGCTGTGGATGACACCTGCCATGGCCAAGAACCAACCAGAGGCCACCTGCCTGCCAGCAGACTCAGCTGCTGGGCATGGGGGACCATGCTATGCTCCTGATGTGTGGGCTAGGGGCTTAGAGGAGTCTGGAGGTTGACCTAGAAGATGTGATTCCACCTAGAGCCTCTGGACTGGTCACTTTAGGGGTAGCTGAGCCCAGAGACTGGGAGACCTTTACATTTAAGAGGCTTTTCTGTTTGCAATATAGTTACAAATATTCCATTAACTTACAAAGAGGCTTTAGAATCCAAACTGAACTCCCTTGAAAGTCTCTGTATCCTGGGTGGCAGCTGTGGCTCAGTGAGTAGGGCGCTGGCCCCATATACCTGGGGTAGTGGGTTCAAACCCAGCCCTGGCCAAACTGCAATAACAACAACAACAAAAAAAATAGCCAGGTGTTGTGATGGGCGCCTGTAGTCCCAGCTACCTGAGAGGCTGAGGCAAGAGAATGGCCTAGGAGCCCAGGAGTTGGAGGTTGCTGTGAGCTGTGATGCCATGGCACCCTACCAAGGGCAACACAAAAAAAAAAAAGAAAGAAAGTCTCTGTATCCTTAGGACTCAGAGATTCCAAACCATACTTCCTCCTAGGGCCATCCTTGAAAGGAGAGTCTGAAGGGGTGTGAATCTCACTCTTTGCCCACTGAAAGGTGTTTGTGCTGAAGAGTGAAGGGCCCTGGCCAATAGTGGTCACTGCCCTGGGCTCAAGCGATGGTCCCGTGCTCTGTGAGGAAGGCCTTCATCTGGCTAAGCCCTGCTTTTGCTCAATGCACACTGTACATATTATACATTCCAGAAAGCTCGCCTTGGCCACCCCACCTCACCAGACTGAAGTAGTTACTAGGCTGACCTCTCCATAACCTAGGAGTCCTTTGAGGATAGAGTGTGTGTGTACTCATGTCCCCAGTGTATGCCTGGGGAGTGTGTAGAGTGAGTAAATATCACCTGTGAACTCAAGAAAGGAGGCGCTGAGGCTGCAGTCTGGGTGGGCAGGTGGGGGATCCTGGTCGGCCCCAGAGGATGGTGTGGTGTGCGTGGAGCCTCTCCAGCCCTTTTGGTAGATTTAATGAGCAGTTTGATGTCAGCTGAGATTCCTACAGGCAGGGGGCCGGGGCTGGGTGGGGACGCTAAAGTAACCCACCATGAATAATCTGAAAGAGAGAACCCTGCCGCCCATCACCTTGGTCCCCACTGGCTGCCTACACTCTCATGCTCACAGAGAAGAGAAACTCACTTTATTTTGTCTTACCGGTGCAAGAGTCGGTGTCTGCACCGGGGCTGCTGAAAGGGAAGGGATTTTTCCTGGGAAGCTTCAATTTCCTTATTTTTCTCGTAGTGCCTCTGGTTTCCAGATACCCACATGGGCCTTTAACAATCACGATGGCCTGTACTCCATCTGTCTCTGCTGCTGATTCCGGCTTCCTCTGAGAGTCCAAAGTGGCCCTGGTAGCTGTAGTATAAACGGGCCTGGGAAAGGCAAATAAAAAAACAGATTAAAAATGGGATAAAGGACACCACCCTGTATTCAGCAAATAATGGCTCCTGTTAATACTCTTCCGTGAACACAGATGAAAGACATGACATTTGTTCCAGCTGTAGAGATTCCAGTTATAGGTAATCACAAGGCGTCTGGATGATCTAGGCAGCAGGATTCCATAAGAACACTTGGACACGATGAGGACTCCACCGAGCTTGGTGTCTTCCGTCATGCTAGCATCACTGCCGTTCCAGGGAGACACTGGCCGAGAGCACGCAGTCTGGGGGGTCAACTCCTGCTGTGCACCGGCCTGGGGGCAGCTTCACCAGCTGCTTCCTTGATTTCCAGACCCCTTCAGCCAGGTGGAAGTGATTAGCCCAGGAGACAACCCCGGGAACCACGGCTCTGAGAGGCTCAGCTGCCCACATACAGTCTGTAAGCGCCGTCTGGCTTCCAGATCTGAGCCCATGTGTCTCATGGGCACTGGGGCACATTAGGAGCGTTATAATCAAGTGTCACAGAGACAGTCCAGAGTAGTGAAAGAGCG